TTTCTCTTTGTGCCTATGTTTGCTCTCTCTCTATGTATCTCTGTGATATCTGTCTGCTTATATGTCTGTCTATGTTTCTGGTTCTGTGTTTAATCTCTCTCTCAAATTTAGCATTCTTAGGAAGAACGTAATCAACCAGATAGGGTGTTGACTGTTATGTTATCCGACTCTCTGTTGTATTACATTACATTTCTAAGTATACTAGATTTGTGTTTCTATTTAATTTGTACCTGATGATGATTGCTTGTGTTGCAATCGAAACGTCGTATGCTAGTATTTAATTTAATTTATTATTTTATCTTTATACGTGACTTTACCGAAAGAACCAAAGAATAATTCCTGCAGTCACGAAAGCTCCAAATTAAGCTTAAATGCATTATGGTTGTCCCATCATATTTACCGGGCACTAGTCTATTTTGCCGAGCTAATTGCATCCCCAGCGTTTGGCATTGCTGCTGCATTGGGGTTGTTGGCTTTACTGGCACTGTTTCTGCTTTATTGCAGCCCCCTCGTGCATCCCTAGCTCTCTCAGCCTCCCACTTCCAGCCCCGCCCACTTCCCCCCATCCTAACTTCACGTCTCCCTCTCCTAGCGTCCACGCAACGCTCCCCCTACCCCCCTCCCTTTCCCCTCCCCCCTCTCTTACCTATATAACCTCTTCCCACGGTATCTCTCTCCCACTTCAGCAAAATGCTCTTGCTATGGTTTTCCCACCTGATGATTGCTTGTGTTGCGATCGAAACGTCGTGATTTAATTTATTTTATTTTATACATACGCTTTACTCCTACATTAGCAATGGCTGCCCAGCTCATGCTGTTTATGCCCCACGGCTTTCCTTGCTGCTGCCTCGCAACTCTCGTCCCCCCGCCCACTCACTTTGGAAGCCCTTATAAGCAGTTGCATTTGGAGACTTGCTCCCTTTTTTCTCTCCGTCTGATGAAGACCGCTTGTGTTGAGATCGAAACGTCGTGGGTTTTTGCTTTTATTTTTTAATTTAATTTTAATTTACTTTAATTTTCTACCTATGTGACTTTACCGAAAGAACCAAGAATATGGAGTCTGTTCAATCAATACGGGCAGCTTTTGTATTGCTATTTGCTAAAGAAACCGGTAGAGGGAGCTCTGATACTATGAGCGTGAGGTTGAAAGCAGCTGAGGTGTGTGCACTTCAGTCGTTAGCACGTTCGGGGTCATACAACGCCAGCAGTACCGTGTCCCATCAATACCTCACCAACTCTTCTGCACAGCATCAGTCTCTGGACGTAGCCTATTCAATGTTTTCTACAACACAGGTATTAATGTGCGTTTCGACATGCATTAAGCGTTCAGCTTGTAAATTGAGAGAAGCTGTGATTTATCTATGGGACCTTTTGTCCAGTATCAAAAATGTTGAAAAATAAGAATAGGTTTAGCCCTTTCTACCTACGTGAAGTCACGTAGGTAGAAAAAATAAAATAAAAAATAATATATCACGACGTTTCGATCACAACACAAGCGGTCGTCCTCAGGCGAAAGAACCAAAGAGTATGGATTCCTGCAGTCACGAAAGCTTCAAATCAAGGTGTTAAGATGTTAAAACACTAAATATAAATTTTGCAAGGAATCAAATCTGCATTAATCACCCGAGCTATAAGTGTTCTGATATTTACATTGCCTTAGTACTGTTTGCCTTTTGGCGTTCTCAAGTCGACTAACACTGGTGGTGAGACAATGCCATCAAGAAGGCTGTCTGGTGTAGGCCAATCAGTTTCAAGGACAATGCGTATGTTATTACAGCGTGTTTGTTTGCATGTTTTGCCACAAGTACGTGTGGTTAATGCAAACTTGATGCCTCGCAAAAGGTATCTATTTGGTGTTTGAACATCTTAACACCTATTTTATTGCAACAAAGAGTTAAACCTATTCTTAAGCTGTTTTCTTAGCTACAATCTGCCACTGCCTGAGTGGCAGTACTAGAGAACCGAACTCCACCTAATCTGTAGTCTAATTTGAACTGCTATTAATGAAGGCATTGCAGGTGATAGAGGCTGCGGGTTGTCCTTCTTGAGGGACCCATGTGGCCACATTCACCTGCCCCATGATCCATAATGTTTTTTGTTGGGTTAGATAGCATAAATATTAATGTCGTTAAACCTACCACCACCTACAGCATAAGTAAAGTTTGGCATGGAAACAAAACGTGCCAATTAGTTATTTCGGCACACCGGTGTGTTGGAGAGTAAACCCACAACATTTACAGTTCGAGTACGACGTTTCGGAGGCAATTGCAACCAGCCTCATCAGGTGACAGCTAGAATTGTGGGTAAATCCTTCTGTTTCACTCTTAAATGGAGGGGTAAATGTGATGTCATAACTTGTGAGCCAACCAGGTGCTAAGACCAGAGGGGTGGGGGGGGTTAATGTATTCATATAATTTACAAAGAATATATATTATTGGTTGGGTTATTCACAGTTATAAACATACATAATGTATGAGAACAGGTTTTCCCCTTTTTTTCTGGCAACAAAACAGGTGTTAAGATGGTAAAACACCAAACTGAAACATTTTACAAGGAATCATGTCTGCATTAACCACAATAATTGTGGTCAGAATGCAAACAAAAAAATACTCTGATAATATATGCATTGTCTTTGAAACTGATTGGTCCACACCAACTTAACACCTGTTTTGTTGCCAGATAAAAGGGGAAAAAACTTCTTCTCATATGTTGGTACTGGTGAAGTACCGGTGAGGACGCTTGACACCGAGGTTGAGGCACACGTATATTTATTTCACAATACGACAGTGGGCATATAACACTCGAGGGGGTATCGGCCCCCTCACCCGTATAACTCGGGATACACCCCTAGCTAACTCTGTCCTAGCCCCGAGTCCTCCACTAATGGGCTAGGGGAGGCTATCTGGCCCGACACTGGTAAGTCGGGCCCGGTACCCGGAGTTCCAGACCAGCTCTTACAAGAGCACCGGCTCTGGCTTTCGGGACCACGCCGCTGGCTCAGTCCTGTCCGGCCCTGAAAAGGACATCGAACTAGGGGAGTCCAGGGCTCTATCTAAGACGTCTTCAGTCTTCTTCCTTTAGCTTAAAACATAACTCCCGAGCCCTTTGAAACATCCCCTTTTATACCCAACCCCTCCCTGAGGGGTGGGGCCCCGGGGGATCATAACGTTCGAACCAGCCCCCCCCAGGGTGTCTGGCTCGGACGTCGTAGAGGGCACCTCCTCGTGCACTTACGTAGCCCCGCCCACTGTTTGTTTTCCATAGGCTGCCATGCATAACGGGCCCTCTCTTTAACACCCCTACACTGGCAAAGGAGGTCCTGTGATGCCGCCGCCACGAAGCCGTTCAGCAGGCGCCCCATCTACGACCTCGCCACCACCAAGCGACGGAGCCGACCCCGCGTCCCCCTCACCTCACCTGAACACACCCGCACGCATTCCCCCCCCCCCACCCCCCATAGAGCTCCGAGGGGAGGTCACCTGACTGACCGGTTTTTATCCGAGAAACCCTTATCGGGATTAACTTTCACGGTTTCCAGCGACCAGGGAATTGGACGACCTCCCCCGACGCTACGTTGCACCGCGGCGCTGCGACCGGCCTTAAGATGGTATGGTCGCGGCGAAGGGCATTCGGCCACCGTGGTTAAAACACATCCCCCCACACACACCCCCACGGGTCGACGAGACAGGCAGAGGAGGGACGGGGCGGCATAGTTTAGCAGGCCGTGGGGATGGACGCCGCTGCATGATGCGCAAGAGCACGGCGCCATGCATGAGAAAGGGATTAATTAGAATTAACGCCGCACTTGCGTAACGCCGCACTTGCGGCACATCCGATTAGAATATCAAAGGCACCTGGTACGTGGGAAGGGGGGAGGGCCTGAGTCCGGGAATTAGGATAAAAGGGAGCGTAGCAAGGTAGGGAGATCTCTCTCCACTTCGCTTCAAGAGGCCCGCGTTCAAGTCAGCTCCCAGCTCTGCCCTCCGGACGTCCGCGTGACGTGTCCAGACGAGCATTGAGGAAAAGCCACAGGACGCCGAATACTTCGAACCGTGAGTAGCAAGGTGAAAGGGTATCGTAAGCCGATAAATAGGGAATAGGTCCACGGGTAGTAGGATAGGCCAGCCTCGTCGATACGTACTGATTTAACAACAAAGTCCCAGGTAGCAAACAATAAATCCTTAATAGCTGACCGTGTCTCCGTGTGATCTCGCTGAGAAGTGGGAACGCGTGTGGTGCTGCGTACACAGTGGTTCGCCACAAAGGAGCGCTGCGCGGAGCTGTGCATGTGGGTGCGCGTGTGTTCACTACGTGTATGATACAGGTGCGCAATCATAACGCGAGTATTCAGTGGTGAGTGAGTGCCGCGGGGAGCTGTGTGCGTGAGTGCGCGTACGTTCGCTACGTGTCGGATACGGGTGCGCATTGGTAACGTGGTTATTCAACGTGGAGGCGAGTTCCGCACAGGGCTATAGACGGGCACACGCTCGCAGCGTGCGAGAGCTGTACGTAGCGGTGTAAAGAAGGGGGAGTATGGCGTTTGATTGATGATGCTGTGCGCACGTATGCTTGCAGCGTGGGAGCGCTGCGTGAGGCCGTATGGGTAGGGGCGTCGCGTTCGAAGGCCGGCGAAACCCTAGCGGGTATTAGGGTGGTGGGGTAACGTAAACGGAATAGGGGATGCAGGCGGGGGGGACCCCGGGGGCCAACGGCCCCCACAGAGGGACTTCGGGGACCAGCGGCCCCAACAGTCCCATGACATTCAACCTAATTGGAGATTGTAAAAAAACAAGACAAAAGACAGATGAATCTCGAATACAAATCACAACCCTGGTGGTGACAATACATCGAATCGCTTAGTGTGCTGAACCTTTCCGCCCGTATTTTTATGACCAACCCCACTAGGCCAGCGCATCTCTTGAGCGATGTTTTCCGTGTCTCCCTGGTTAATGAGTGACCAGTGTTTATCGATTAAGGAGGCGCGTGGTTAATCACACAGTCCCAAGTCCACGGCGCTGCCATGAGTCCGAGTGAGCTCGGGTCGTGCGCGTCGTGAAAACCAGTCGACCTCCAGGCAGGCCGGATGAGTGGAAATTAAAGAACTTGGTGCTGCCCGTGTGAAATATGAAAGGACCGTTTCGGCTATTGGTGCTTTACGGTAAGCCTGCTTTGATAAACTCACTACTCCATAGGATTTTCATTTCGCGTGGCTCTACAGTTTTGGCCCTCCAACAGATATCGTTAATTGTTTAAGTGAACTTATTGTACTGAAGTGATGGAGCTTTTGTCAATGCAGCTCCCGAACTTTGAAACGGTTTGCTTTTGCTAGTAAGACAATCATAGTCGTGAAATATATTTGTATATATTTAAGTCTATCTTGAAATCTTACCTCTTTCAAATAGCCTCTTCTTTCCTGCCTAGTCCTGGCCATTTACCCTGCACGTTCTGTTTATTTCCTGCTTTCCATACACGGTGGCGGCGCATTGGGATTTATGGATTAAATGCGCCACTTTACAAATGTATATGATTATTACGTAGCTGTTCTAAAATAGATCCCTAACCCAAATTTGCAACCTTCTTTACCGAGTTTTTATTTTAAAACTAAATTCTGTTGTTCACATCTCATCGGGAATTGTAGTGTCTATGTTATAAAGTGTGTACCTGGTTAATCTATTGAAGTTGGATTGTTACATCTCTGGACTGCGACAAATGGTGGTGGCTTGGGGAGGCTTTCGTCCAGAAGTGGATTTATCATAGCTTATTACGTTAAGATTTAAATGAGTGACAATTACTGACTATGATTGAGCTTTATATTCAAAGTACAGTCCGTTCTCCTATAACCTGTGTTGTTTTTCATTACGCGAATTAGATATAACGCGATTAATGTCTTCGGGAACATTTTTTTTCATATAACACAGATGCGAATTGGATATCATGCGATTAAGTGAATGGAACTACGTCGCATGAGTAGGAATAAGCGGTCATACGGCTGCCTCGGCGTAGCATCACACAATGTGGGATGCTACTGGATGCTTCTAGATGCTACCCACGGGCCTCAGTCTTTGTTCAGCCTGTGTACGTATCTCACGTATTATCACGGACTGTGCGTTACCCCCTATTTTATATATTCGAGCGCGATTTTACCATAACGCCGTGTTCTTCAGGAAGGCAACTACTACCGCGTTATAGGAGAACACGACTATACTTAGATAACACAGAGATCACCCTGGGTGCTAACTCCAACCTCCTCCCCCCCCGTAGATTACGAGGTGGATAGTCGCTGTGTGTAACGGATCTTGGTTTATGACCCAGCTGTACATATTCTTAAGTGTCGTCCACTCGTAATGTGCGGTGGGGCCCATCTCCTGGTTCTCTCTTTACTGTTGCATGAAGCCAAAACTCCCATTAAGTAGCATTGACCAAAGCACTGGAGGGGGCGAGGGTTGGTGGATCGCAGAAATGTTGTGATGTGAAACTCCCTACCCATGGGTGTCGAGCCGACATACTCTGGCTCACTAGAAACTAAATTAAACTCTGAAACTAATTTAATTGAACTGTACCAGGGCACACTGAGCTATTTTCCAGAAGCGACCTATATGTTGAACTTCTTGTATTTAATGGTAAACTTCTTTCGCACTGTACGTAGCCAACCGTGCTCATTGGAGGTGCGGCGGAAGGACAACTAAACACAAACAGCAGTTGTAAAAAAAATATTTTTCTATTTCGATGTAAAAGTGCATAGCTCCAGTGATTTCCTAATTTTGGAAGAGCGTTTCAGATGGCCACAGAAGTGCATCTGAAATCACATGATGCGATATCCTTACTGGGAAAATGGACAACATTACCATGTGTGTAGGAGTTCACATACAACCTGTCTCTCGATCCACTGCTGGACGAGGCTGTTCCTACGCCATGCGGGTCGTGATGGTTATTTTACCATACTTCACCACGCTGGTCAGTACGGGTTGGTGAAGGTGGGGGGAGTACAGGATAACAATGGATTTGCTGCACTGCCCTCTGCTAACCACTGCCTACAACAGATTGTTATGCATGGTAAACTATAAACTTTTTTTTATTTTACCAGGTAAGGCCCACTGAGCTATGTAGCCCTTTTTTAAAGGTGACCTGGCCACAAATGATAGCTCAATTAAATGGCTTATCAAGTAGAAATGTATTGCAGGCAAATACTCTAAACGCATGTTGATTCGAAATGTAAATGGAAATACTGGAGGACCCAGAGGTAAAATCCATGCGACCACGGGGGGAGAGAGAGAGAACATGCAAACTCCAAATATACAGCAGGCTTCAGGGTCGGGATCAAACCCACGATCTCCTGTATACCAGGCGAGGTAGTTAACATCTTGCTACCGCGACGTCCACGATGGCGAGATGGTGATAACCCATCCAGGCTCTAACCCACTTATCCAGGCTCTAACCAGCTTGGCTTTCATGATCTTATGGAGTCAGGAGCATGCCTTGTTATATGCTCATAGGGGTATAGAAGCTCATTATAGCGTTCTAGTCATACTAACAATGATATATCATAGTGTAACTTAAAAAAATACAATGTAGTATGAAGGAAAGTTGAATTCAGGTATAAGTGTGGTCATGTATGTGAAGCAAAGATGAGCAGATATTACAAATTGCCAGGATTACAAAGTAGAATCGTAATTTGTTTTACCCACATACCACTCTTAAACCTAAAATATATACGATGGTTTTACTATACGGGCATTGCATGATATGCAATTAAAACATTTCAACCAAACATAGCAAAGATGTAAAAAGTTACTTATTGTGGGTCTGAAGACAACAGTATGATGGACCGGTCTCTAATGGGTTTCTAGATAACAATTACAGACTGATGTGTACTTCACAACCCTTTAAACGTAGACTGCGCTCTCTCTGTTCTATCCCTGCAGGTTTGGTGACCTTGGGAACCTCCCAAGTGGATGTGGATCAGTTTGTCAATGTGAACCGTGGGCAAGAGGTCACCCTGAGATGCGTCTACACGGGGACACACACACCTGGGAGTATAACCTGGCGGAAAGTAAACGGAGACGCCTCAGTGAGAATCGCCGTTGCCCTTTCCAGCGGTTACAGAATTGACAATAGCACCTTCTACGGGCGACTCAACTTCACAAACTACACCTCTGAACTGTGGAACGGATCCATCCGCATTGAAGACCTCCGTCTCGGGGACGAGGGAGACTTCTCCTGCATCTTTGCCACTCTTGATGACGACGTTCAAGCAACAATCAACCTCACTGTGAACGGTGAGGCAGTTTTTTTAATGCGACTAAACATGAACCCGGTACAATGCGCTGATGAATATTAGAGGGTGGGGGGAATATTAGAGGGTGGGGGAAATATCCGCGAGAATTTCAATTCAGCGCAACGAGACTGTACGTAGGGGGGAGGGGTGTTGGGCCGGCAGCCCCAGCCAAGTGGGGACCCCACGTAGGGGGGCGGGATAACTAACATACTAAGGGTAGACCAGGGACAAAGGGGAGGGGGGTTTTTCAACCATAATCCACAATGTAGCAGTTCCAAAAAAATTAACAATGACTCCGTTTACTACAAGCGTATTTGTATCTCCCAGGAGGAAAAGCTCCGTGACAAGTTCCCTTTTTATTACAACGCTATTCTAAACAAACCCTTTATAAAGTCCCAGTCTCACTCAGCTGACACGAGCATGACGGTGGTACTGGTGGTAGGACCTAAGCCCTAAGGGATGTGGGCTATCGCCCTTCCACCACTCGACCCCGAGAAACCAGTACAGGGCAGTCCTCGCATAACGCGTGGTGTTCACACGACGCATTGCCGCCATAAAACGCCTTACCATTGGGGAACACTTTTCGCACAGCGCGAAATGCTACATTGGGAAGTTTGCAGATCCGCCTCTACGTGATACCCGAAAACACCAGTGAACATATTTCTCTGCTGTGGAACCAGTCTCTCCATAAGGTGACCAATGTTGACCTCAGAAAAAGTGGTACCTATACACCAAGCCCACCTTGATACACCTGCACACGATCTGATATTAACGGCTCCATCTCCACGGTGGAGGGTCTCTTGGACACATTCTCTCCTTTGGCTACCACTCCGTTAGTCTCGAATTGTGGTGTCACGAGATCGTTAACTCTACCCCGTTCTGAGACGTCTGCAGGTTGCAGGGTGGTGTCCCGTTCACCTCTGAATCTCGGAAAGTGCAAGCGGTTCAGTGTTCATTTTACTTACAGATGTGTAGCACTGTTATTTTTAAACACACTGTACTCATTGCAGAGAACCGTTGTGACACAAGCATACTCTGATAGCTGGCGCCAAACTGTGCTACACGTCCTCTTGCATTTTAGTTTTTCAGTTCTAATGACTACACGTATGCACATTATTGGAATGGAATCATTCAGTGGGGGAAGGGTTAAGCGTGTCCCTTCTTTTTACAGAACGGCCCACGGAAGCGAATAATTTTGAGCTACCTCTGAGATCTCTTTTAGTAACCTCTGCTCCAAACAGTAGAGGCCAGCACTTAACCGTCTGTGTCTCTCTTTGTCTCTGTTTCTCTGTGCCCCAGTTCCCCCAAAAGCCTCCCTAGAGTTGAACCCGAACAATTTGGTAGACGGCATGGGGCTGGTAACCGTGGTGACGTGCGTCGCTCAGGAAGGAAAACCCGCAGCCTCCATTACCTGGAGTGGCCTCCATCAGGGCAGCTCCAATGAGACCACAGAGGTGGCGCCGAACGGCACGGTGATGGTGAGGAGCCGCTACTGGCTGGAGCCCACGTACGAGAGCCACGGGAGGATACTCACCTGCAGGGTGGAGCACCGGGCCCTCGATTCTCCAGTGGAGTACTCTACGACCCTCAACATCCACTGTGAGTTGTGGGCATGATAAATAAACAATAAGTCAGAAAGTTCAGTTGTCGAGATGTTTAAATGAGCTTAGATTGGTGGTCATCTCTATTGTCAGCCCTGAGTCCATTGTAGACATTTCACATTGATAATTGGTTGTTTACCCTTCTATCTGGCAACAAAACTGACACCTTTTTACAAGGAGTCATGTTTGCATAGACCGCAATACCTGCAGTCATAATACAAACAAAAGACATAACTCTGATAATGTGCACTGTCCTTGAAGTTGATTGGTCCACACCCGAGACAGCTTTTCTTAGAGCCTAGTCTCACATGGGTTGGACCAGATGACGCCAAAAGCGTCATCTGGTCCAACCTATACGAAGTTTGCAGTCGATACGACATTGGGAATACGGTTGAAATTGAGTTACAAGATTTTAGGATACGACAACACACGAGTACGTTAAATAAAAGCGTGTAAAATGTAAAAAAATATGTTTTGGATTTTTTTTATGATAGAATATAGTGTTGTCATCAGTATGACATAGCTATTTCAAGTTTGCAGTCGATAGCACATTGGGAAGTGGGTAAAAATGTAGTTACAAGATTTTTTTTGAGGATACAACAGACGGAGTGAGTTAAATAAAAGCGTGTAATAATAAAATAAAAAAGGCACGGATACATTGGGTAATGACGTAACGCCCTAGAGCAGTGGATAACGCCGTGGTTAACATGAATTTGTCACGAGACTCCTGTTATTCGCAAATTTGTGGAACCTACAGTTGCCACGGATAAGAAGAGTTCTTCAGAATACGAGTTATCTTTTTTTCGTCCAAAATAGCCCTCAATTGATGTTTCGCCACTATTACAATTAAAATTTGCTCAAATGCGACCAGAGAAATGTGTATGGACTTGCTCACGCACGCACATGTTCCTCCATTCGCAGACAAACCGAGAGTGAGCATCGCTGGCTACGATGGCAATTGGTACGTGGATAAGGAAGGAGCCTCGTTGACTTGTGAAGCAGACGGGAACCCTAACAGCACGCACTACCTGTGGGACAGGTAAGGGACCGCAATAAACTGTCATTAAGGCCACCTCTTGTTTATGTGGGGAGTTGTTCTTGAAAAATGGCACGTGACTCAAAATCACGAAAGTTAAACGTAACTTTTCCATAATAAATAAAGGAAATGGTTGAGGTGAGGAAGAGCATGCCATCGAACCTCATTCTCATGTCTACATATTAATTTGGTGACGGTACATATATTTACAATACCACCATACATGTATTAAATACATGTATAGTAAATAAGGTAAAACAAACATATTTTAACACGTTAGTGAGATGCTCGAGTGTGACGGCATAACTGGCGCTGGTGGAGGGGAGGAGTGGAGAGAGTTGGTGGGGTTACTGGAGAGAAATAGGGTCGTCTTCATCGGGTAACGATGGTGATGGAGATAATGGCGGGTTCAATTGTGTGCACAAGACAAAGTCCACGTGGACAAGATCGTACAAATTGCGCGTGAGAAGGCGATGCTGATGCTACTGCCCGCGCCTGTAGTTGTTGTCGTACCGCTGCACCTCAGGCAGCATTGCTACTGAACTTTGCTGCCTAACGATTAGCTCGCAGCGTGTTCCGTACACCATAGCCAACGCGGTAGAGCACATCATTTCAATGACAGTGCGCGCAAAACTAAAATAAGTGTAAATTAATCAAACATGGTATTTTACAATCGCGTTATATAAACGCGTGTAAACGCAAGGCAACTGTAGCTGCCATTGTTACAGCTCTTTCTCAAATGACGACTAGATGTAGGTCCCCCTCCCCCATTCCGTGGCTTTTATTACTGACTATAATCACCCTGAAATGTCTGTCCGACTCGCGCCTGACGTCACTCCACCTGAGGCCCACCCCCCTTATTAATATTCATGAGTGGGTGGATTTTTATAAGGCAGAGGAAGGTCGAGCTGAATTAAATAATGTATTACGCAAAGTCGCTTCAAATATGACGTTTCGTTACAGAAAATGACGGTAAAAAATAAATATACGCAGCAGTGCTAAATCCGTACGTGACGTCACTGCAAAAGAGGCCCCCCCCCCTTCATTAATATTTATTCCCGCGTGGAAATTTACACTAATGCACAAGGTCGCACACTCCACATGCCGCACCCCCTCCCCTCATTAATGAGCGGGTGACGTGACTCCACATGCCGCACCCCTCCACAATAACCATGAGCGGGTGACGTCACTCCACATGCCGCACCCCTCCACAATAACCATGAGCGGGTGACGTCACTCCACATGCCGCACCCCTCCACAATAACCATGAGCGGGTGACGTCACTCCACATGCCGCACCCCTCCACAATAACCATGAGCGGGTGACGTCACTCCACATGCCGCACCCCTCCACAATAACCATGAGCGGGTGACGTCACTCCACATGCCGCACCCCTCCACAATAACCATGAGGGGGTGACGTCACTCCACATGCCGCACCCTTCCCCAATAACCATTAGCGGGTGACGTCACTCCACATGGGGCAACCCCCCCCCCCCCCCCTCATTAATAATCATGAGCTGAATAATTTTTCTATTTAATATTTCAGATTTACTGCAATATACACCCGTCCTTGGATGGCAAAAAAGCTAGTGCAACATGTTTTTCCATACTTCTTTATTGAAAACGAATTTCTTTAGAACTGCTTGTGTTTATTTTGTTCTCCTTTCCCCGCACCTCAGATTACCACGGTTCGCGACATACGTTCCAAAAGAAGTTCAACATACATACATCTAATTACATTTCTTCGCAGTTTCTGCAGCAGTGTAATCACATGATACTGACCGTGTGTCACACTCCGTGTTGTGGTGTGATTGCTCGTAGGAAAAACGGCTCCCTGCCCAACGGGACGGTTGTGAGCGGCAACTCCCTGTCCTTTAAGCGGCCACTAGTGGAGTCAGACTCTGGGTCGTTCTACTGCTGGGCCAATAACTCTGTGGGCTGGGGCGAGGCGGTGGTTATCATTACCATCCGGTCAGGTACAACCACCGCTGCTACAACCACCGCTACTACAACAACTACATCCACTACGCCCAACGCAGCCACAACACCAGGTATCAGCGCAGATACATCAGCAGCTGCTTTCCTTTGTTGACTTCCCACCGGGCCCCCACTGTGACAAAAGATGCGTTGATAACCAAAGACACGAATTGCTGCCCAAAAACTGATGTCACCGTTTTTAAAGCAGTAGCCCCATTTTTAAGACAGATGGGCAGAAAAAGCTCGCAACTGTGAAATGCAATTAGAGGAAGCTTTGTTTTTTATTTGTTGTGAAGTCTTTAAATCATGAGAACCAATCACAAGCATTACGGAAGGCCAAAAAAGCAAATATATTTAACTAAACAAACACACACCGAGCACTAGGTTGCATGTACAAAGGCTCTCAAAAAGCTTATTCGAGACAAAATGGCCACGTGCAGTTCTTTTGAACTTGTGGTTTCATACTCTTTGTTTTTTTTGGTAAAGTCACGTAGGTAAAAAATAAAATTAAAATAAATCACGACGTTTTGGAGGCAACACAAGCTCCGTCTTCAGGTGGCACCGTCACAGCAAAATTACTGTATCAAATGGAGAGAACTATAAGACACGAGACTATATACAGATTAAAGCCTCCTTAACTTAACCCTCCCCCACGGCCCATCCTGGCTCCTCCCCCCCCCCCCCTTAATCTGTATATAGTCTCGTGTCTTATAGTTCTCTCCACTTGATACAGTAATTTTGCTGTGACGGTGCCACCTGAAGCTGGTGTTGCCTCCGAAACGTCGTGATTTAATTTATTTTTATTTAATTTTTTACCCACGTGACTTTACCGAAAAAAACAAAGAGTATGGACCCTTGCAGTCACGAAAACTTCATATCTAGAATTGTGGTTTCGTATCATGCATTGAGAGCTTTTATAAATACAATGCACATTTTTGGGCTTTAAAAACTCAGAACATCTCTTAAATATAATTCATGATATTAAGCTTAACCTCAATGATAATCTTGTACGTTTTGATGTGACTTCTTTGTTCACCAGAGTTCCAGTCAACAAGTAAATTAAATTACTCGATACTCTGGAAACGAACACAGGTTTTGCCAAAGATATCCCACGACTAGCTGAACACCGTCTTACGAACACCTATTTGTTGTGGAAAGATGATTTCTATTAACAAAAGGAAGGAGCAGCAATGGGCTCTCCTTTGTCTCATGTGATTGCAAATTTATACGTGGAATTTTTTAAAGCAAAAGCAATAGCTTCAAGCACAATAAGATCCTCTGCTTGGTTTAGATATGTGGATGACACACTGGTGGTCTGGCCACACGACAAAGATATATTTAACGAATTTCTAAATCATCTTTACTTCCAAACCCGACCATCTAGTTCACAATGGAGTGTACGTTGACAGAAGTCTCCCATTTTTGGATATTCTGCTCGGCCACGGCTGAAATGGTCACGCAGCATTTACTAATATTAAAAAAATACAGTGATGCCTTTCTGAATGCAGAGTCACACCATCATCCCACACAGAAACCCTCTCTCATCAAGATGCTCATACATCAGGCTAAGAAATTGTCAGATGGTGATAGTCTGAAAAGCTAAATTAAACATGTTAAAACAGCGTTGCAATTGAACGGTTACAATGATACACAAATAAACAGGGCACTGAATGCCAAAACCAAATCAAATAACACGAGAGTTTGAAACTGACCAAGTAATTAAAACTATTAAAAGACCGTACATTGTTGTAGTAACAGATAAACTATCCAGACTTTCCATAATACAGTTTTTTTGGGTTAGATCGCCAAAATATATAAATGTGTCGTTAAAACCGCCAACAGTCAACACAGCCAATTAGCAAGGTTTGTCACGTAAACAGAACGTGCCAATTCGTTACTAGTGTAGAGGTGTAATTGTGCATGGCCACGGATGTTGAGGTGTAATTGTGCATGGCCACGGATGGCTAACAAACACAAGGGGCGGGGTTACGGCCGTACACAGGGGAGGTGCTCGCACCGACATCCGCACCTGCATCCCCCACGGGCCCCTCCCGGGGGCCGAGTCCTATAAAAGGTGGTGAGCCGGAGGGCTCGAGGTCGGAGCTCAGCTTTAACCAGAGAAGAAGGAAGACCTGCTAGAATAGGCCCCAGAGCTCCCCTGGCTCGCTGTCCTTATAAGGGCCGACCAGGGCAAGCCGGTGGCGTGGCCCCGAGAGCCCAGACTGACGAGCCGGTCTGGAGACTCAGGGTGCCGGGATCCCAGATTGACCAGGGCTGGGATAGATAGCCTCCCCTAGCTCCGTAGTGGAGGACTTGGGCATAGGTTAGCGGGGTTAGCTGTTGTGTATCCCTGTAGCCAAGTGACCCGTAATTACTGTGTGTGCACAAGTTGGTGTAATAAACAAGTGTGCCTCCGACCCTGTCGTCAAGCCTCCTACATACTTACTACATCTGGCGTCAGAAGTAAAACGTTCAACGATGGACACACGAGGGACGACACGTACCAGGGAGTCGGAGATAGAAGACGCCACGGCCGAATCACCACCAGAGATGGCCGGGGTCAGATCGGAGCAGCCAGGGCCGAGTACGCCCGCGCTGCTGCGACAGGAAGGGGGAGATGCGTCGGCCGAAGGACTCCGGCTGGCTCACTCCCGCCTGGCGGAGCTGCTCTACGCCGCGGCCGCCGCGTTGGAGGAGATCACGCGGCTGGGGGCTGGAGGGGCTGCGCGGGACGACGACAGCAGCCGACGCGGGGCAACGTTTCCCGCCACCCCGACGCGGCTCGCGGTTAAATTTCCCGCCACCACTACAGTGCGAGCAGAGGGCGGGGCCGGCCCGTGTCAGGTGACTGCTGAGCGCCAAGCACAAGCCGTGACATCATCAACACCGGCCAGCGCGTCAAAATCAGAGCGACCGGCGATGCCATGCTCGCAGCCCGCCCACACTGTATCATCTGCTGGGAGCAACGGAGAGCGATCTGCAGCCACGGACGTCGCCTTACAGCAGCATCTGCCGCCTCTCAAATAATTCGTGGGCGCGGACGGAGACTGGGGCGGCTTCAAGAGGCGGTTCATCGCTCATCAAGAGATGGCGAACTGGACGGACGCCGAGGCTCTACGCGCGCTGCCGGCGATGCTGGACAACGAAGCCCTGGCTACCCTCACCTCGGCGCCTAAGGAAAAGCGCGCCACGCTGCACCTGGCGCTGCAGCTGCTGTCAGCCGTCTATGGGCCGCCTTCGGACTGCAGGCAGCTGTTCCACGATCGGCATCGGGGCGCCAACGAATCGCCCCTGGCCTTCCGGACGGCTCTCCTGGCCCTGGCGAAGGCAGCTTTTCCACGGATGGACGAGGAGGGAGTGGATGCCATGGTGGCTGAGAAGCTGCTGCTACTCGCTGATGAGCTGGACGTCAACGTCTTGGCTCAAGACGACGCAGAGATGTCGTCCCTGCTGGTCGCGCGCCACATCCATGGGGGCTTGCGGTCCCTACGTCGCAAGGCGGCCAAGGGGGTGGCCGGCCATGCCATGGCGGCCACCGCCCTCCCATCGGAGGAGGTCTGCGGGGTGGAGCGGCGAGGGGAATGGAGATCGGCGGCACCACAGGCTCGGAATGGACCGAGCCGCCAGGAGCAGCCCAGGCCATCTGGGGCGCTCACACGCTGCTACAACTGTGGCCTGCAAGGCCACGTTGCGTCAGGATGCTGGGCTCCCCGTCAGCGCGGGGCGACACCTCGTCAGGACGCCACGCCGTCTCCACCCAAGCTCCAGCAGAGAAATACGGCGAGTCGTGGCACCTCACACGTTTGGCCCATGCACACATCCGACACACACTCACGCGCTCAACTAAACAGGGCTCGAAAATCGCCGCCCGTCGCGCGCGATTGTTCTGAAATGCGGCGAGCGCTCCAACCGGGTCAGTGGTCGGAGCTCGCCCATCGTGTCGTTGCTGCGTCGGCGGGATCATCGGTTGTGGTCGGTCATATTTATGGGGTAGAGGTGCGGATTTTAATTGACACGGGGGCATCGGCGACCATTATATCTGATTTGATTTATAACATCCTTCCCGTTCAAAGTCGTCCCTTGCTCCCTGTTGACGTGCCATGCTATGCTGCTAACGGGGGCTCGCTGGGCATTATTGGGCAAATCCGCGCCAAAATTTGCATTGGAGACATTAAATTATCCGGGCCTGTTTTGGTTTCCTCCTCACTCGCGGTTCCGTGCCTGTTGGGGACAGATTTCTTGGCCAAAATGCCCATCCGTATCCTGATTGACCAGGGGTGCATCGAGCTCCCATCGGGCCGACGTGTTACATTTTTGTCTTCCCCCACCACGGAGCGTCGGGCGTTTGCCACCGTGCAGGCGCTCGTGACAAAAACTGTGCGCGTACCCCCGGGGGCTCAGATGCTCGTCCCTCTTAGGTTGCGTCGGCCGTTTGCTGAAGGGGTTGCGGATCGGGGGGTCTTGTTGGGACCATCTCGAGCCGGGGTCAATGGACCCGATTTGCTAGCGGCTCAGACCATGGTGAGAAGGGATGGGGACCCCTTCATTGCAGTCCTTAATGTAGGATCGCGAACGGCCGTGGTTCCTCAAGGGACCGTGCTTGCACACGCAATGCCGGTACCCTATGAGGAACCACTCGTGGGTCAGGTAACCACCGATCCTCCGTCGCGACCGCATTCGGACTGTGATGACGGATGGCTGGATGCGCTTTGCGCGGGATCAGTGGACCTGTCCGACTCGCAGCGTGCGCAGCTGCGAGTTCTCCTGAATGAATTTGCTGACGTTTTTAGTCAACACAAATTTGATATTGGTTGTACTAAATTGCTGCGACACCATATTGACACGGGTGACAGCGCGCCAATCCGCCAAAATCCCTTTCGGTTGAGTCCCGCCGAAAAGGATCATGTCAAATCGGCTGTTGATGACATGCTAGCCGCCGATATCATTTCCCCTTCCAACAGCCCGTGGGGCGCGCCAATCGTTTTGGTGAAAAAACACGACGGCTCACTGCGGTTTTGTGTCGACTTTCGGCGCTTGAACAAAATTTCTGTGGCAGATGCGTACCCGCTTCCTC